AAGACGAACTGCACTCTGAAACTGCATTCAGTGTTTTATCTGCCATTGCCATCAGAGAGAGAGAGAGATGGACTCTCGCTTGACCCACAACCTGCCATTGCAGGGCCTTATTCCTAGGACTCTATTGTTGTTGTGATTGGATTTGTCATCTTCACGCTTCTTGTCGGCCGAAATCAATCAGAGACCAGGCCAGAGACACCTTCGAGGGGCAAGGGCTGAGGCGGCTGAGTAGGAGTGGGAGGAGACTTTGCTAATTCCCGAAAATAAAGTGAAACACGTCATACAACGACCGAAGCACACACACGAAAACAGATCGTACAGATCATGCATAATAGCCCAGGGAAAGAGCAGAAGAAAAGAAGAAACTGAAATTATTATTATTATTATTATTTTTTTTTTTGACAATTATTGTTCAAGGTGCTCCTTTCACCGCACCTCAACCTCTGGCTCGACAAACGACGACGACGACGACGACGACGATGATGATGATGAAATGTTGTCTTTGGACGTGGACACAGGTCGGTCCCAAAAGGCCGGACAAAACGTGGGACGACACACAGACGCACACACACACATGAATCGGGCAGAAAATCAGATACAAAACACGCAGCAGCAGCAGCAGCGATACAGATACAAAGGCGATCCTAAAGATGCGACCAGAAAGATACAACAAAAAAAGAAACACACACACATTCACACATCTGTGGGGCACTAAATAGCTGCACGTTGGACACTGCCACAGTGCGTCTTGGACATGCCAAACGATCGACAAGCGAGCGACAGAGGTCGGTCGGTCGGTCGGTCGGTCTCTGGGGAGCAGAGAGCTCTAGCCAGCTCTCTACGCAGATTGTGCAACACAACAACGTCAGTGCGAGAACAAAGCACCTTCTGGCGAGGCAAGGCGACTCGACTTGACTCGACTCCAAAGCCAAAGCCAAAGCCAAAGCCAACGCCAACGCAAACGAAACTTTCTTCACTTTTGCGGCTTTTGTTGGCCCAGGTAGCAGCCGGAGCAGAGTGGAGCGAAGCGTATGACGACAATTACTCAAGTGACATCTCCATCGCATCATCTCCCATATCCCATCTGGCATCAGTGGGGGGATCTCGGACCTTGCTGCGGACGTGCCCATGCCTCTCGACCACGGCTGCGCTCGGTCGTTGTGTGCCCCATTTCGGATTTACGGCTTGGGGCGTCGCAGTCGTAGTCGCAGCTTCAGCCTCAATGCGGTTGTTCCCGTGCGGTACGTGTTTGGCATATTGAATGGCTATCCATACGCCCGTCCGTCCGTCCGTCCGTCCGTCCGTCCGTCTCTTAGCCTCAAAGGCGGAGAGAAATCATGGGGCTTGTCATGGCAGCAGGCATGGAAATAGAATCTTGAATTTCGACTAATATTCGCAGCTACACACTCCTTCTATTGGATGGATTCAATGACTGTTCATCAAACAATCATGTAAACTAAAGCAATCAAACTTTGTCAATCTTAGGGCTACTCATTCGCAGCATCTGCGGCAGTCGCGGGGCATTCTCCTTGCTCGCATCCCGACATGCCACATCTAATGGGCGTGTCATTGTCTAGTCCACCCACAATACCGAGGGGCAATGGCAATACCAATCGTTTGGCCCTAATGATTTATCCGCAATAAAATCGAAGGGACAACGAGGCAGCAATTGCCAGGGGATGGACACACGCACAGATGATGCCGTGCCACAAACTGTGTGTCAACCTGGCGGCACTATGCTGGCCACTGACCAGGCCCGGACGCTGACAATAGCAGCAACGCCCACGGTAGCAGCGGCCTCTCGTTTGTCCTCCACCAGTCACAACAGAAAAACAACAACAGCAGCAGCAGCAGCAGCAACAAAAACAAACAACAGGACGCAGGACACAGCACACGGGAGGCAGCCTCTCTGTTGCATCCTCGTAATCATAAATAAATTGCATTTGCGGCAGGGGCACAGCCATCATCATCAAAAGTGCGGAAGCCGACGGGGTAGAGGAGTGTCAGTGCGGCCCTAAAGGCGAATGATGCGACAAGTGGCGCCTCGAGAGCCTCGAGAAACGCAGCTAGAAATATTTTATAAATAGAGCACAAAAACAGATCGATAGCAAAGGGAATCGCTTCCAGTTTCGATGTGGATTCCTGCACGAAAGCCCTTCTGGAAACTTGAGGAAATATGGAATCCCTAGATATCTATTAGGCTCTACTTTCCCCCCAAAAAGCTCCACTATTTAGAAGCCCTATCTGCTGCATCTAAAGCCAAGGACTATCTCCAATCTCGGCCATCGGAATCCTCCCCCGGAGACTGACATTCCCTGATCCGTAATCATTAATCAAATTATTGGCAATCGAATATCGATCGAGTGTTGTGCATCGGTTGCATATCGAATTGCCTCTGGCATCTGATGCATTATTATGCCATGCAGCGACATGCAACATGCGGGTGCATGCACCAAAAGGGTTAAACCCGAACCCGAACCCGAACCACTCAAAAATTATTTAGCTAATTTTTATTTTTACAATTTAATTTGTTTGAATTTCCACATGTCCCGCATATCAAGAAATTTATTACGGCCGCTTGCCTCTGCCTCTTCCTCTGCCTCTGCCACAGACCCTGCCTCTGATGCCGCTGCGCATGCGGCTCTCGTGCCTCTCCATTTGCCACTTGGGGCGTGGCACCAGAGCGGCCTCTGGGCGGTATCTCTTTGGGGGTCTTACCTCTGGCTGAATGATTCAAGGTAAAGCCCGAGCCCGAGCCCGAGCCCGAAACCGAGCCCGAAGTGGGTCAGGGAGCAGACGATGGTTTGGTCATGCGTCAGTGAGGCGTTGCTTCCGGCCTGGCTCTACCTTTGCCACTGGCTTTGCCATTTTGCCTCATATTTCACGGCTGAGTAGCAGCGGGTCCCCGTGCCCCTGGGCCCCCCTCTCATACCGGGAAGAGGCACACAAATCCCGAGTATGGGAGGCAGTATTCAGAAGGAGGCAGCGGAGGGCTTGTCTAAATTTGGCATTAATTGCTTGGAAAATGTCGCTCCAAAGAGGAGCCACCACCGCTCTCCTCTTGGTGCTCGTGCAGCGCCAACTTGGAATTGGAACTTGCAACTGCAACGTAGTCTCCGTCTCTGCGCCTCTCCGTCGTCGTCTTGAGGACAATAAAAGTTCGTGAGAACTTGATGCTTATCGAACACTGAACTTGCAGACAATGCCAACCCAATGAAATGGCGAGTGGGCAGCGACTGCACAGTCCATAGAGAGAGAGAGAGGGAGGCAGAGGGAGAGGGAGAGGGAGAGAGGTGGGGGGCAATGACAGAGGACAGAGGGAGCTGCAAAAGGTTTAAGCCATTTCCCCGCTGCTTTGATTAGCCTGGAAAATGGAAAATGGATCAACGAAATGAAATTTCCCACGAAAGCAGCGACGCATCCTCTCTCCACAGCTGCCACGTAAATGGTGTCTGCCTTGCCCCTTTCATCCTCAACGGCTCTGTGTCCTTTCTATTTTTTGCACACCTCTTTGCCCGCAGGACTCTCTCGCGCTCGCTCTCTCTCAGATCGTTCGCCTTGCCGTCACATTCGCACATTTTTCTGCGACAGTCCTTAATCCTTTTTCTCACGCACCAAAAAACATTCAATAAAAAGAGAGCGAGAACGAGAGAGTTCTCAAGGATCCTTCCATCGATCGATGACACGTTGCAAATATTGGACAGGGCAGGGCTGGGCAGAGCAGGGCAGGGCAGGACAGGACAGGGCAGGACACACAGCAGCGACTCATTGTCCTGGCGATTTTCGCCACAACGGAACGAACCCTCAGACGAAAGAACCCTGCCCCAGAATCCAGGTAGCAGTAGCTGCCACATCTGCATCCTCATGCCTCAACAATGGCAACGCAGTAAAATCCGAATCATGATCAATTCAATTATTGGTAGTCCCCGATCGAAGGAATCGGAGGAGCCTCCGTCACCTGCTCGTCCGTCCTTTCCTCACTTTTCCCATGACAAAATATTTCGCGGACAGCTCTCTCTCACCATTTCTCTCTGTTTGAGAGAGAGGGAGAAAGAGAGCTCCCATTGTCTGCGGGGCTAATCAAGTGGCTGCGGGACCAGACCAAGGGGCGATCTTTTCGCATTTTCCTCCTCAGGGGCGCTGCATTGTGCCTGCATTCTGCTGCAAATGCATCTCTCTTTCTTTTTCAGCTGAAACATGAAGCGGCCAACAAGTGTCCTGAGTCCTGAGGCAGGACACAGGATGGCCGGTCGGTCGTCCTGCTACATATATGCATGTACATATGCGCTTAGTGTAATGGGATAAGCTGCTCCCTCACAAGTGCGCGACGATAATGAAATTGTATACTTGTTCCTGCCTCAAACAGAGGCACAACAGCAACGGCAGCAACGGCAACTACAGCAGAATCCAAATGGTATTCTGGCTGTGGGAAATTGTGGGAAAATCTTTCGATAATCCCTGCGCTGATGAATTGTTCGATCGATTCGCAGGTGCATGCCCCCATTGTTCTATCGAATGCGAGAAACGAGAGCTCTGCCTCTCCCTCTGCCTCTGCCTCTGCCTCTGCCTCCAGCTCCTCTTCCTCCTCCGCTCAAAAGATCCCAGAGATTCTGGTCGCGCTTTGCACAGTTTCCAGAGCGGAGGGATCTATCAGAGATCGAATATGTTGCAGGAATTGCATTAAAGCTCAAGGAATGATCAAAATGATCATCATTATATTTCCTAAGACAGTGTCGCTTTGTGGCTCAAGAAACCATACTTCATATATGCCAACATCTTTCAAAAGGTGATCTTGAATGATCAGCCATCGTAGAGAATCCTAGAAAATCAATGGATCGTTTCTAGTAAGCCCGGAAGCGTTTAGCGATCACTCCCATTGGATGTCAAGTTCTTTCAGAGACGATTCCTCGATCAGCGGTGATCAGATGTTATCCTTGAGGTTCACTCTCAAGCAACCCCTTCCCGTCCTTGCCCCCGTGTGTGGTTCATTCATTACTCACTGGCTGCGATTGGGAGGGCGGCTCCTCTTGGGGCACTTGTGGCACTTGTGGCACTTGTGGAACCAGTGATCATTAGACGTGGGAATTCTGGGCGGACGCACAATGTGGTGCCCGTTGCGGTGGTGGTGCCGTTACCGTTAGAAGACTCACCTGCAACGAGAAGAGAAGAGCGAATCGAGCGCATAAATTATTAATTAAGAATGGGATACAAAAAGAAAACGAGCACCAGGCACCAGATTCTAGATTCCAGTGCAAATAAATTAGCAAAGCAAAGGAGGTAGTGGGAGTGGGAGTGGGCCTCTGAGAACGCCACCGCCGCTGCAGCCGCCACGTGTGGCACACGCAAGAACCGTTCCACCAAGCAGCAGCAGCAGCAGCAACAGCAACAGCAACAGCACCAGTGACCAGTAATGACCCCCAAGGAAAGGGCCGACACCGCCACCATTCATGTGAATGCGGAATGAGGAATTTTTCACACTGCACTTGAGTCGGTGATCGGATGGTGGTGGTGGTGCCACCGCTGCTGCTGCTGCTGCTGCTGCTGCTGCTGCTTGCTGCACGTCTCTAGGAAAACAAAAGAAGTTCGCATAACTGGAATTAAAGCAGCGCCCATCCACAGGTAACAGTAACAGAAACAACAAACGGCAGAAAAGGTAGCCAAAGGCCACAGACATAGATACCCTACATGGGATGGAGATAGGTGCGAAATGTCCCATAAGCGAAAGGACTGCATATTTTTTGCAAATTCAAAACAAAATCGTTTGACCAAAGTGTGTCCTTTTACTTAGGGGACATTTGCATCCCATGAAGGTATATTTTTGGTGGAAAAGATATATTTTTATTCTATATCGAATGTATCTAGGCTTTGATTTAGATCTTTAGATATTTACACGTATTTCAGACGTTCTTTGGGTATCTACATATCTCATATGAATTATATAGAAATGGTCAGAAGTTAAGAACAAATCATACTACCCTCTCTCTGTAAAGGGCGTGCACGACAGTAACTGAGTAGCACGACGACCGGCTCGTGGGTAGCGCGAGTGCTAAATGGGCCACAGAGTGAAGGGAGATCGGAGGAGTGGAGTGTGGTGTGTGGTGTGTGGTGTGTGGAGAGCCATGTTGTGTAGTGTGGGGCTCCACATGCAATCGAATCTGTTGGAGTGGACACCATACACTCCCCCACAGTCCATGCCTGCACCACCTCGTGCCTTCTCCTCCTCGTGTCACCTACTCCAAAGGCCTCAGCCCCAAAGTCAGTCACCCCGAAAACAGTCACTCCCGAGGAGGCAGGGGAGGAGGCAGAGGAGGAGACGGCGCAGCGGAGGAATGGAGAGCTGCTCCTCTCATCAGCGGAGACAATGGTGGGAATATTCTCATATTAAGAAATCGCGCGATCTTCAGCGCCAGATGTGTCCGTGTGTCCGTGTGTCTTGCTGCGAGTGTTTGTATTTAGTGCAACGGCGCAGGTCAGCGCAAACGGTGCCAGCCCCACCGCCCCACCGCCCCACCAGTGGCAACAACAGCAAATGTTCATGGCAAATTCGCAACGTGTCGTGGTCGTGCCACCGTTGTCATGTCCGAGAGTGTAACAAAGACCTCGACTGAGAATACCCCCAATGCCATTGCCTCCCCCTACCCCTCATGGCCCCAATACTGTCGTTCCTTCCGCTGGTACCACACCACACTCCCCCGTCGCCGGGTTGCAACGCCCCCGCCAAGTAGCGCGAATAAACATTCATGCAACAGCAGCGGCAGCGGCAGCGGCAGCAACAACAACAGCAACAATAATTGCATTACACATAAAAATAAATTGTAATGAACTTAGGGAAGAAGCGAGAGACGACACTCTGCCACGGAGAGGGGCGGGGGGGAGGCAGGCAACAACAGAAGAAGGAGGCAGAGGCAGAGGCAGCACCAGAGGGAGGCTGCAACAGAGGCAACACTGGAAGCAGCAACAGCAGCAGCAGAAGAGACAGCGGCCAATGTGAAAATCGATGCGGAAGCATGCAACAAACAGCGGCAGCGACAGCGGAGGCACCCACCAGAAAGGGCAACAACAGCTATAACAAATTTCACCTTAGCTTTGTTTTTGGGTCTAGGAATTTTCCACCAATTCGTCCAAACTGTAATTTGTTGTAACCCGCGAGTATTTTCCCTGGCTCTGATCTGGCTCCCCCCTCCCGTTTTCTACCCAGCAATAAATATATTTAAATACGAATGCAACATGCAGCAGCAACAACAGCTACAGCAACATTGAAGCGGGTCAAAACGCGCCAAGAATCTCCATTGATGGACACCCAAGTGACAGATCGTTTCTCAAGAGGCTTTTAATTTCTAAAAAGCACATTTATTCAATGGCAAGAGATCGATTGGCCATAGAACAGAAACTAAAGAAGTAGATTAAGTTTTAAGACTTAAAAGTTATCCTTTATACAATAGAAAGCATAAAAAGTAGAATATTAATTGTGTGTAATTGCACTTAAATGTGCAGTGAAACATTTCCCATAAACGAAAGAATACTATTTATTCAAAAATGCGACAGAACTACCGAGAAAGTCTCCTAGATCCTATAATATGAGTGAGGCAAATAATGTTAGTGCTTTGAAGAGTAAGCGAATATCTAATAGAAGAATATTTTGAAAGAAACAAGGACTAGAATGGTCGTATATATAGTAGAAGTAATAGTAGAAAATTATATGATAGGATACGTCCTGTTTGAAATAATGAAATATACACAATTCATGGATGACAACCATCGTGAAAGGAAATTCTACAACAAATAAAAATACGAAATACTTTCTTCTAAGACAACATGATATGCGAAACTCAGGTTTTATATATTTAATGATTTCTCTATGGTAAAAGGGAAAGCAGGAAGGGGTTCTTAGGAGTCTTGGGGCGCCGGACAAGCCCTGGATTGCTAAGCTGCACTGGAAAAGAGAAAGAGTTACAAAATCGATGTTCCTTCACAGAATTCATTCGAGAGGAAGGACTTGCGGAGTACATCAAGTTGTCAAAAGGGAAGTCCTGACACACACACAGACAATGTGGCATGCCTCCCATTCGTAGAAGTAATCGTATGTGGCATGGGTTCTGTGTCTCTCTGTGTGTGTGTGTGTGTGTGTGTGTGTGTGTGTGTGTTTGAGTCAATTAATTAGCCATGATTCTCACGACCTCAAATTAAGAGGAAAGCCCATAACAAATAGGAAACTCCAAGCAGCAGCAACAGAAGCAGCCACAGCAACGGCAGCATGCAACAAGAGCAACATTCAGAGAGGGGACGGACTGGGGGGCGACAATGGACAACGACGGACAATACAATGGGCCCTAAGCCCCGCGGGACGGAGAGAGGTTAAAGAGTTAGCATCTTGCAGCCAGTTCGAGTTGCAAGTTGCAAGTAGCTAGCGCCAAGCGCCATGTGGAATGGGAGGAAGCTGCCACTGCGACTGCCTGTGCCACTGGGGGGATTTGGATTTGGATTTGGGATTTGGGGTTTTTTGGGGAATGTCAAGCGGCTTTTGTAGGCGGCAGTGGGAGTACGGGAGTACCTGGAGATCTGATTTAAGCCCGAAATTAGGAATAATGGCTATGGCCTGCACATGACATCCCCCTCCCCCCCCCCCCTCCCACTGAAAGAGCGCAAGGTGGAGAGGGAGAGAGGGCAAGGGAGGGGTAGCCACTCTGTGAAAGAGAGGGCAGAGTGTAGTCCGTAGTCCGGAGTCCGAGTGGAGTGCAGCGTTGACAGGCAGCAAATGCGAACAAGACAGCATCGCTACCCACAGCAGACAGGCGGCGGCGCATAGATGGGACTGAGGCAGGAACTGCTGCTGGGGGCAGGTTGCACTGGGGGCACAGTGAAATTATCTCACGGATAATCCGAACAACACGTTCAACCTTTTCTTCTCTCTCTCTCTCTCTCTCTCCCTCTCTGTGTCTCTTGGCTTTTCTCTCTCTTTTTCTTTTGATTTTCTTTTGTTGTGGAGCTCCGCCGTTTCTTGAGCGGATTCCCCAAAGCGGAGGGCAGGGCCGGGGGGCACTCTTCCGAGTGTAGGCGCTGGGTCTCACCCTTTCTGGGGGTACTGCGGGGGCGCCTCCAAGCCGTTGAAACAATGGCAAAAATCCACCTGACTGCGGGCTGGAATCATTCTCTCTCTCGCTCTCTCTCTCTCTGAGGCTGTCTGCAGCATGCAGCAGAATCTGGAGACTGAGCTGCAGCGGCATCTGAATCTGCAATAAAACTGTAGCCAAAATGTTGAAGCTGAAGCTGGAAAGTGTTTCAGATACATGCCTCGTCTTCGTCTTTGGCTCTGGCTCTGTCTCTGCCCCTGTGGTTTGTCGCTGCTTGGAAAACTGTTGCGGAAAAGTTATTTGCTGTTTGCTTAGCGGCGGCAGCAGCAGCAGCAGCAGCGGAGAGGCAGCAGCAGCACCAAGAGAAAGGGTAACAGATTCCCACACTCCCAGCCGGACGGAAGCGGGGGCGGCAGGAGGGCTGCCACACCGCAACGGTACTCCGGGGCCTGGCCCAGAGTGTTGACAACGAAACAGAGACCATTGTGCCATGAATGGAGGGGCATGAGGCATGAGGCATGAGGCATGCATCTTTGTATCTGTGTATCTGCGTATCTGTGTATCTGCGTATCTGTGTATCTGCGTATCTGTGTGTGTGCGTGCGACTGATTGATGAATGTCAGCGCCCGAAAGTGTTTTGTGTGTGCGTCACAGAGAGAGATAGAGATGGAGAGAGCGCGAGCAGGTGTCATGGGAAGCCCTGAGAGCCAGTGGCATTGAAGGTCACCCTTCGGAGATCTTTGATTTTCCCCTCCAGGCACTCCATCAGAATGTGGCACAAACCATGAGAGGACCGAGAAAGGGCTCCGTTTGTGCCGCCACTTGAAGGCCTTCAAATGTTGCAAGCAAACAAAAGCCAACGTGCAACGTTCAACGTTCAACGTTCAACGTGCAACTTGCAACTTGCAACCTGCAGACACTAACTGTACCATGCAGCGGCGGAGTAACCTACAAATAAAAAGTCCACAAATCGACAGAAAACATCCAAAAGTTGAAAGTTGAAGTCGCGTCTGAAGTATCTGCCAGATA